TTTCTTTTTTTTTTTTGTTTGTTTGTTTGTTTGAGACAAGGTTTCTCTGTAGCTTTGGTGCCTGTCCTGGGACTAGCTCTTGTAGACCAGGCTGACCACGAACTCACAGAGATCCACCTGCCTCTGCCTCCTGAGTGCTGGGTTTAAAGGCGTGCACTACCACCCAGCCTTATTCTGGATCTTGAGGCGGGAAGATGCACGCCTTTAATCTGGGTCACACCTTCTGCCGGAAGCCTAAGAAGTAAGTACAAGGTAGGAGGAAACCCACGCTCTTTGCCTGTTTGCCCTTGTCTCGTCCTCACATCTGTTCCTTCACTGCATGAGAGCCCCATTCTTCCAGAATCCAGCACATTCTGAAGACCAGCAGAGACATCCAGCCTTGTGGACTGAACAACTGCTGCATTCTCAGACTTTGTGTTCACAGCCTGCCATTGTCGAGTTACCTGGACCATAGCCTGGGAGTCATTCCAGCACACAGAGAGATTCATTCCGTAAGTTCTGCTTCTCTAGAGAGCCCTGAGTAATAAATCCCTTTAAAATCATTGCACATTTATGTGTGTGCGCATGTATGTGCACACGTGTGTAGGTTAGAGGACAACTTGTCGGTTCTCTCCTCACACATGGGTTCTGGGAATCCAACTCAGGTAATCGGATTTGTCAAGAAAAACCTTCACCTGATGAACCATCTAACTGGCTCTGGTTGGTTGGTTGGTTGGTTGGTTGGTTGGTTGGTTGGTTTGTTTGGAGATAGTGGTGCCAATGTACAGCCCAACTGGGCTGGAACTCCCCATGTAGACCAGTCTGACCTCAAACTCACAGAGATGGGCCTGCCTCAGCCTCCCACGTAAAGGCTTTGAAGTCTTTCTAAAATAACCCTTTTCAATATTAGGTGTCGCGTCATCCCAACTCTCTCCCCTTCCTCCTTGAGAAGACTCTGAAGGCCTCTGTTTCAGTTTGGGTCAGTCCCCCTCTACCTCCAGGGATCAGTTTGTGTCCCAGGTACCCCTGGTAACTGGTTTTGGTTGGGGATTTAGCTTATGACCCGAGGAGGTGGCAGACATCACCATTTATCCTGAAAGCTTCAGCATATAGCTGGTGGCCTCTGCTTCCTCCACTTAGGGAAGCCTGCCTAAGAATGAAACCCTGCTGGTTCTGAGGCAGAAATGAAGGCTGGCAGGTGGAGTGTGCTTGGCAGGTGGAGTGTGGCTCAGGGACCTGTCTGTCTGGGCCCCTACACAGCCCTGCCCTGAACTCACTATGCCCTCCTGTTTCCCAATCCTATGACTCAGTTCTTTCCCAGCACAACCAGTACCATCTGGTTTCTACTGAGGACCAGCAAATCAAAAATAAGGAGGTAGGAGACTGAGGCAGAAGCCAGTGGGGCTCCACAGGGAGAACCTTGTAGCGGGGGTTTTTGGGATCATCAGCCCCCAAATCATGATATGGAGACTTACTGTTAATTATGAAAGTTTGGTGTTAGTTTAGGCTTGTTTCTGGATGCTTTTTTTTTCTTCTGGTTTTTGAGATAGGGTTTCTCTGTAACTTTGGAGCCTGTCCTGAAACTAGCTCTTGTAGACCAGGCTGGCCTTGAACTCACAGAGATCCTCTTGCACCTCTGCTCCGAGTGCTGGTATTAGAGGCGTGAGCCACCACCGCCTTTCATAGCTGCCTTTTTTTTTTTTTTTTTTTGGTTTTTCGAGACA